AAATCCGAAAGATAGAAATTGTGTGAAATGCTTAATCTGTGGAAATACTTATATGGGTGGCATTTTTCGACAAGAAGAGCATTTAATCAGAATTTCCGGGAATGTAAAAGTATGCCCATAAGCTATAGATGATATAAAAAAAGAGATTAGAGAATACTTGGATAGATTGAAAAAAGATAAAGAGAAGAAAAAAATGAAAAGAAAAGAACTACTCGATGATATGCAATTATTTGATGATGATGAAAAAAGGAATAGGTTGGAGCAAAAAAACTTGAATGATTTGGTTTATGTGCGTTATAATGAGCGGCTTAGGGAGAGGTATCAAAATCACATGAAGCTCAACTCTATTCAATTATATGAAGCTGATGGTGATTCCACAAGTGAGTGGATCATGGATCTAAGACTAGAGCGTGTGTTTGAGGGTGAGGATCTTACATGGCTCGATGTCGAGCTAGCAACAAGGGCTAATGAAGAAGGTCGACCTAACACTAGAGCACAGAGGAGTAGAGGAGCAGCAAGAACTGGGTCTAGTCGTACTCGTACATCAGCTCCAGAGGTCGAGGAAGAGGAGGCTGCCTCCGAGGAGACCGAGGAAGAAAAATACGTGGAGGCCACTGAGGATGATATTGATGATGCACATGACAACTCTTAAGATGGCTTTTCTGATTAATATTTGAAAAATTGACTTCAAAATTGTTTGGGATGATTGTATTAAGTAACTATTAACTCTTCTTGAGCTTGACTTCAAAACTCTTTAATCTTCATGGAGATATGGACTTTTGGTTTGTAGTATCACTATTTTATAATTTTGAAGTTTGTGATTGCAAATTTGCACTAATGGTTTTTTATTGTTGAATGTTTTATGAAGCTAATTTCAAGTTTCTAGTTTCTATCAGGGGATAGTTGATACAGAATCTCCGACTACTAATATTTTTGGACTTAATCATTAAACTAAAATATCTACTATCACATATATCACCTCCATATTTTTTTCTATGCATTAACCTATTTTTATAGATTTTTTAGAATTTTTTTATATTTATTGACCACATCGTCGCGATGCACCCGCATCCGGACCACATCGCGCCGCATCGGCCCCTCCACCGCTTTTGGCCGAATCCCGCATTTTAAAACGTTGTTTCGAATTGAACAAAATTTCAAAAAGTTACATATGGGCTTCATCCCAGAAGATTCTTTAGCCCATAGTTACTGGAATCTCTCACCCCAGGTGGTGATTCCACTTCAAAATCCCGATTCAAGGAGGACTCCGTCAAGGAATCTTCAAGGAATCTGTTTCCTTAGGAATCTCGACCCCACATTAGGAATCTCCATTCCACATTTATTGAATCTCAATTCCAACATTTATTGGATCTAAATTCCACATTTGTTACATCCCGATTCCACATTTATTGAATCTTGATTTGGTTTTTTTGGAATCTAGATTCCACAGCATCAAATGCCGCAGTTTGTAAGTGCAAGAAACAACTATTCGATCAACATGTAATCTTGCTGCCACCTTCATCGAATCTCGATCAGATTTTTTCGGATCCAAATTCCGCATAATCAAATACTACGATTCATAGGTGGACAAAACCGTGATTTAATCACCATGAAATCTCGCTTCAAATATTTATGAAATCCTATCTGTGAGTTTTATGAAATCCAGATAGGAGAACATTGAATCCCATGGTTCATGGGTGCACCAAAAAGCAATCCGATTAACACGAGTTCAAAGTTTTGGTAACACAAAATCAACATTCAAATGTAAATGTCTAGAGTTAGGAATCTCGATTAAGGTTGAAACCCGATACATTGATGTAGGAAATCTCAATTCCAAGTGGGTTGAAACTCGATTCCTAAATGGTATGAATATTGATTCCAATTGGGATGAAAATCAATTCCAAAGTGGTATGAAATCGAATCTAAGGATGTAGGAATCTCAATTCCATTTGGGTCGAAACCCGATTCCTATAAAGTAGGAACCTCGATTCCTGCAATTCGCCCGGTACAGACAGCAATTCTGGCAACAAGAATCTTCCAACATGATTCCATGATTGCCATTCCTTAATTGATATCGAATCTCAAGCATTTCAAACAATGGTCTAGGTTTTTGCTGATTCTATGGATAATAGATGTCGCTTATTGAAGATTAGGGAGCGCATTTAGGGAGAGATTTAGGACAGAAGCTTCCATTGGATTATGGAGATTGACATCTAAGGATGAAATTGGTGTTCAATTTTATACAATGATTTCTATTTTTAGGGCTCTTTAGTCAAAAGATTGCAAGGTGTACCATTTTCGACATACATCTCCATACTTAGTCACTCTCCAAACCTTTTCAAAAAATATGAAATACTACATATAATATATATATATATATATATATATATATATATATATTTTAAAATTAGCATTTTGACCTCATTCCTTTAAGAAAGTCGAGATCTATGAGTTTGAGTATGGCTATATGGGAAAAGTATGAAAAATAAAACAAATGTCCAAAAAATTGATAAAATAACAATTATTGTTTTTTTTTTTACTTTTAAGAACTATTTCTCTTAAACTATTAAACAAGAGAACATTTAACTATTTTGAATTGTATATCTTCTCTCTTTTTTTCTTAGTATACACTATTATCCTTTTAGAGATTTTAACTTAAAAATGGAAATAGCTAAGCACATTTTGTTATACCTCCACTTCGAGTAATTATTAATACACAATTACAGTGCCAAAAATATTCCCAAAATAATTTCTAAAATGGACATGTACAATCTGAGAATATTGAACATTTTCATGCCTCACAAGGCAAAACAAACAAAACATCTTGCCAGGCACAAACCATGAGCAGACCTTCAGATATGCACCTGTAACCATGATAGGCACAACCAACCAAGTCATAGCAAACAACCTCATAAGCAAATCAGCTACAGAACAATTTAGGATCAAATTGTTGCGACCAGGTTTGGCCAACATCAGGTATTGCCTCAGGGCATCTCTTGACTATAATACTAGATGATACATCAGCTCAGTATGATCCCAGTTCCCAATGTTTTGCAATAAGGAGATATTAAAAAAGGTATCACCATGCATGCCATGATCCTCTAATGCCTACAAGTTACAATCCGTCAATTCACAGGTAAAACTTCAACTGAAGAATCAGGATGGCTTAAAGGTTTAAGCTAATGTGCAGCTCAGCTTTGAGGAAGAAGAAGCCCAGGTGCCTATCCTACCATGACAATGAAAGCGGACTACACCATAGTTGTTGGAATTGCCACAATAATCCTCTTTTTATCATCATCATCTTAATCATGATCACCATCATCTTCATGTCCCTCTAACAACCCCAGTCTACTGTGATGGCTTTGTTGTTGATAGAATTTATGGGCCCACTCATGCATACTTCTTTAAATCAGCCTCTAATGGGTTTTAGGTTTCAAATGAACTTAAAACCGACAAATTTTCCCCTTTAGTATTAAAACAATGACCCAAAAATACCTTCAAGGAGCTGCATTTCCGCCCCTGGGTGGGGCGCAAGCCCTAGGCGGCCACTTAGGCGGGGTTCAGACGGGCGCCTAGGCAAGCTCCCTAGCACCTAGGTGGGTGCCCAGGGATATCCGCCTAGTTTGGCCACCTAGGCCTGCGCGATGCGCTCAGGCCTTCTAGACCGTCTAGGCGACCACCTAAGCGCTGGGCCGCTTTTTAAAACTATGAGCGAATCCGTCAAGCACTTGTAAGGCTCACTCCCTAAGAGCTTGTTGGCACATTGGAGGAGATCTTGGATACCAGTGATAAGTTGTAATTTCTTTTGTTCACATCATCAGAAAGGCCAACACAAAAATCGACACCTTAGCTTGAGCAAAGTTGTTCAAAACAAGTTGAGCATGGGGAACTCCACCCTATTGACTTTTTTCTATTCTACATGCTTTCTCTCATGCTTAGTTGTAAATCATATTTAAGTTATTAAAGGTAAGACATACTCAAATACAATGAATGAAATGCTTCTTTCAGCTGTTCAACAAAGAAATCCTAACAAGATAATAGTCATGCGTCATGATGGCCCCATAGGAAGTAGCCTTAATCCAGAATTTATCTAACCTTGGTTTGAGATATTACAGTGCTTCCCAGGAGATATAGCTTTATCTGATCTCCTAAATTCATATGATTAATAGAGAGTTGATGTAATAATGAGCAGAACCACCACCCTAATCCATTTGACTTTTTTCTATTCTACATGCTTTCTCTCATGCTTAGTTGTAAATCATATTTAAGTTATTAAAGGTAAGACATACTCACATACAATGAATGAAATGCTTCTTTCAGCTGTTCAACAAAGAAATCCTAACAAGATAATAGTCATGCGTCATGATAGCCCCAAAGGAAGTAGCCTTCTCTAATCCAGAATTATCTAACCCTGGTTCAAGATATTAATTACAGTGCTTCTCAGGGGAAATAGCTTTATCTGATCTCCTAAATTCATATGATTAATAGAGTTGATGTAATAATGACCAGAACCACCATTACGTTGGAAAAGTGGCCAACTTGGTCCAACATATTCCAATTGCTCATCCAATTAATTTATAGTTTAAGTGTTAAGAAAAGAAGTGAAAAAGAATAAATAAAACTGGTTCAACTAGTCCTACAAGCCTCTCCAACAGTATATTTCAACCCTGGCCTTTCGGTTTCCTGAATTCAAGAAGTGACCAGACAAGAAAATAGGCCGGTTGGCACCAAAACTAGGGAAACCAGCTTGTCGTGTATAATCGTTATTTATTCTTTATTTCTCTTTTTTCTTTTTTTCTTTTTCAGTTGAGAGGTCTGGTTGAGTCCTTGTACCAGTGGCCCCATCAAAAAAAAGTGCAAGCAAAGCAGATATCTTAACTCACAAGCAATGATGGGCGTTCGAGAGGTTAACCAAGCCAAGCATAATATACTCGCTAACTATTTTCCTTTCTTTCTTTTTTAGTTCTTCAAGCAAGCAAATGGGTGATAGTGATACTGACCATCATCTGGTCTTTTCACAAACTCCACTCCCAAGCGCTCGAAGCGTTCACAGGCCTTGTATGTATCATCAACAGTAATTCCAATATGACCTTTGAGAAAGAAGATTGCATTAAGAAGGATAAAAAAGAGAGAAGGAAATTGTTTATTCTATTATCTGTGCAAAAATAGCTAAACCAAGAAATTAACAGCACGATTGACAAATCTTGGCGAATAAAACCGATTAAATAAAAGGAATAAAGACAGAATTTCATTGTTAGCTTTAGATGAAGCCTGAAACCATGACACTGAATCATATTTAATAGCTGACCTACATATGTAGACCACTAGACTATGCTTGGTTCAAAATTTAAAGGAAAAATGATGTGCCATTGTAAAATATTTTTAAAAAATTCTCAAAAAAACATGGGAATTTCCTCCAAAGTCAGATACAAAATTCAGTCCTGAACTTCATTTCCACATTTATAGTTCAGGACAGGATTTTCAAAAGTTGAACCCAAGATTGAAAACTTTGGCTTAATGAGAATTGTTCCAAGATATGAAATTGTGATCCCAAAGACAACAATAATTTATGATTTACATTTCCCTTGAAAACGCATGTATAAAATTATGCTTTTGAGACAGAACAAAAATCGTACTTCAACATAAAACCAATAATGCTCATACCAAATCCACGAGGTTCACTGTTGCCATTGTGGTAGCCTTTAAAGTCAGGATCAGTTTCAGTGCCCCAGTTACTGCAAGAAACACATTTTAGCAGATAGAGGCCATTCAGAAATCTATGTCAAATAAAGTATAACATAGAAATGATGCAGATAGAACAATCAGTGTACTAGAGAACACATAAGTTAGTAATTACTGGGTAAGTTCTATTGTTGCCTTCTGACCAAATGTCCATACTGTCCGTTGGGTTGGATCAGTAGGAGCTGTATTTGTGTCCTGCAAATTACCAAAATATGTCACTATCTAAAGAGAAAAAAACAAAACCCAAATAATATTGCTGAATGGTCATTAACAAAGACCTTCCCTTCTAATTAGCAATTTATAGACTTTTACCTCATAACCCAAAAAGTACAAACTGAACTTCATATCTGGAAAATCCAACCTCTTTAGGAGCCTGAAATTGCAGACCTTCTGATTAAAATGAGGTATGAGAGATCATAATCAATAACTGCATGAAAATATATAGATTCAGGTGTATTGACAAATAAACTATTATTAGTAAATGAGAACTGGGACCATAACAGAGAAAAGACATCCATTCCGATTTATTTATTGTGACACTACTAAGAGTGAAGATGCTGGTTTTTTTCCAAAGCTTATCGCATTGAAATTTAATCAGAAATCTTGGGTAGAACTTACTTCATGCCCAAGACCCGAGAGTAAAAATCGAGGCTGACTTTGGGATCTTTGATTCGAAACATCTAGGCCACACACAGATATTGTCAGTGTTCCCAAGCAAATCAATAATTCAAGATAAAACTTTCAATCCATGAAATATGACTTTAAAAAAGATGCAAAAGGTAAAAAAACTTTGCACTCTGAAGTACACCTCCAATCTTGTCCTTAAATATTTGACATCTTTTCCAAAATATCCAAACAGAAAAAACCCAACTTCCATGATCTGTATCTCCCATAAGATTCATTACCAGGAATTGACTCAATTCCAGAGTTGTATTCCTTAAAGATGGAATGGGGCACAAACAAAGCTAGAGTGACAAGAAATTTGTAAGCCCAGAGTGAAACAGGAAGAGAGAGAAATGGAGATTTCCGCTTACAGTTTGCTGCATGAAATAGCCTTTGGTGGCATCGGCAGTGTCTTCATGAAGACCAGGATTGTTGGCAGCAGACTCTTTCAGCTGAGACGCCATTGGAGAGAATGACTGAAACCTACGCACACTCTGCAACAACCCAATTAATGGAGAGTCACCAAACCGCCTCAGAATGGGCAAACCAAACGAAGATAAATGAGAGAGAAAGAGGACCTTTCCTTTTGTTAAAGAGTAGGAAAAAAGGCGAAGAGCGTTTGCAGGGAGGAGTTGTGAACGAAGAAGCGCGAGAGGAGATGAGAGGAGAGGAGAAGCCATGGGGTTAATGTAGAGTGCCAAGGGACAAGAGGAGTCGCTCACTAAACACTATTTGGATCCAGGTTCGGGTCCAGAACCACGTCAAGGTCCGATAATATTTTTCGGGTTTTAACATATGAAATATAATATAGGGAAATGATCTTTTAGGACTCTTCCCCCCCTCCCCCCTTCCCCCTCCCCCATCCCCCATCCCCCACTTTCCAATGTGTTTTAGGATCACCATTTAATTTAGAATTGATCTATAGAAAAGTCAAATTTCACATGTGATAATTTTTTTTAGAGATCCGCACCAATTTTAATGGTGATCTTTTAGAGTCTTACACACATGGGTGAGGGAGGTCCTATAGATTCATTACTCATATATTTATAAAAAAAGCTTTTTGTATTTTCCCTACAACCTAAAAGTTCTATCCTCCCATTCCATCCAGCCGACCATTTTTTATCAAGACAGCCACCCACCGTTTAATCTTAGATTCAACATCTCAAAGTACTTTATTTTTTCGTTTTTTTAATACAAATTTTTTGAATATGCAATTTGGTCCGTACCATACTCTCATTGGGGTGTACCC